ATCACTCCATCGATACTAAGGTATGGGGTTATAATGTTGAGGGGTTATCACAATTGATATGGCAAAGACGTTTCAAAGATTTACTTTGACACGTCTAGAATTCGACTACATACAATTTGGCATAGCTTCTTTGCTAATGTTTTTCATTTTTTTTTTGCCCCGGAAGGCAAACCACCAAAATCAGTGGGGTAAATGTCGGAGGTCATTTACCAGAGTTTTATTAGATAATGAAAAGTACAAATCAGAGGGGCACCAAACCAAAACCTCTCAGGAGGCATACCTCCACAAAAAAAAAACAGATAAAGAGATAGAACATTGAGGGGCTAGACCTGACCCAATGGAACACATAAAAAAATAAATCTAAAAGATGGAATGCCAAAGAGATCAGAATAATAGGCACGTCGTGCTGAGTCCGGAAGGTCCTTAACACGATCAAAAATTATTTGTTGGGCCGGTGCTAGTTCTGCTAGAAAATGCGCAGCCCAGTTTTGTTGGCGCACACAATGCGTAAAACGCACCCCTTTCCTCTTTCCTTTCAGTATAATTTCCTGAAATCCATCTTTCCATCTACCAGCACCTCTGTCGACGATATACCTCAGAGCCACCTCCGAATCCATTTCAACTATGAAATTCGAAAATCCCTTATCAATCGCCCAGTCAACCGCAAATAGAGCTGATGAGAACTCAGCTTCAGTTGGAGAAGAAACCGATAGAGGGAATGAAGTCAATAAGATCAAAGCTCCCTCAGAATTCCTTATAATCGCACCACCAGTAGCTACTCCCTGTAAGAATTTTGCATCCGTATTCATCTTCATATTCCCAGGAGCTCGTTTCCATTTTACTGCCTTATAATAACCTTTATTGAGTTTAAAGTTACAGGGAATCAGATTTTCTTCATAGAGAATATCTCCAACCACCCTGATCTTAAGATGAGAGAAACTAGTAACCCAATTCTGAGTGTACAACTTTAATTATCTGTAGGATTATATGCTCAGAAGATGGAACTCTATCATTGGGACCCCACACAATACTCGAGTAAATTTTCCACAAATGCCAGCAGATGATTCCAGGTAAATTATGTTTAAAGACATCAGTTAGTTTTTTGGTCCCTGCTCGAAGCCACCAGGCCATGAATATCTCTTTAATAGAACCAATTTGAGTATTTGACTAGGAATTGAAAGGGTATTCCCAGTATGCTCATATAGTAAAACCATATTGGTTGAGCCACATGACACTTAAAGAAAAGATGTTCAACTGAATCTTCACATTGTTTGCAAAGAGGACAAATAGATGGATTAAGAACCATTTGAAACCTTTTCAAATTATCAGTAATAGGCAGGATACCTTTTAAAATTTTCCATTGCAAGATTTTGATTTTCAGTGTTTGTCTGGGGTGTCAAGCATGCTTGAAGGAGAAGGTAGAGGCCATTTCCGAGCGCACCATGTTGTAGGCAGATTTTAAAGTAAAATTCCCATCATCTTCAGGTATCTACCTCACACAAGCATCCTGATTAATTTGACAAAAGGTATTAGCAGTGTCACTAATGGAACGAATTCTCCTCCTGATGGGAGAATCAGTAACCTTGGGAGCCATATTGCTCAACCCAAAGTGAACTGGTAGTTCTCCATTGCCACCATAATTTAACTGAAAAAGCTTTTTCCAAATGAGTTAAAGATCTCACTCCCAACCCTCTTTCTTCAGTTGGAAGACACACATCAGCCCATTTAACCCAGTGATAATTATTTCTATCATGAGTCGAGCCCCAAAAGAAAGATGACATTTTCTTCTCAAGAATATTGATGACTTTCCTGGGCAGGTTATCAGCTGCTAGGATATGGAGAGGAATTGCACTCAAGACATGATTGATTAAGATTAACCTTCCTCCCTGAGACAAGTTCCTCTGTTTCCAAGGTAATAGCTTCTTCTCAAACTGATTAATCAGATTAGAGCAATAGCTAAATCTATTAATACCTTTGTGAAGATTAACCCTCAAATATCTAATTGGTAAAGTGGCCTTTTTCTGTGAATGGTTCTGGATCTTGCTCTTGCAAATTTGCCACAGATGAAAGAACTTTTATCTAGATTGACTGATTGACCTGAGGCAGCCTGATAAGAGTTAAGATTTTTTTTGAAATTTAACAAAGATCTGGCATCTCCATTTAGGAATATAAGTAAATCATCTGCAAACCCCAAATGCGACACCGGGTAGCCAACATTATCCATCCAGTATGGCTTAATAAGTTCATGATCAATATTCCACTTGAGGCCTCTAGAGAAGGCTTCAGAAGCAATGATAAAAAGAAAGGGAGATAAGGGGTCACCGTGTTTGACCCCTCTTTTAGGCTGAAAAAAACCCTGAGGAGCCCCATTAACTAAAATTGAGAGATGAGTAGCTTTCAGGTTGTTCATGATGAGATGCACAAAATTATTGGAAAAAACAAATCTGTCCAGAATCAAAGCTAAAAATTCCCAGGAAAGTTTATCAAAGGCTTTAGCCATATCAAGCTTTACCATCACATTAGAGCCTCTAATTTTCTTGTCAATAGAATGAAGCATTTCTTGAGCGATAAGAACCTGCTCAATAACATCTTTGTATTGCATGAAGCCAGCTTGCTCAATAGAAATAATTTTGGGCAAAATTTTAATCAACCTCGTAGCCAGAACCTTAGTGCAAACTTTATTGGCGAAGTTAGATAAACAGATAGGTCTAAAATCTGCAAAGGTATTAGGATGCTCACTTTTAGGAATCAAAACCACCAAACTACTAGCCATACCTTGAGGAATAGTAAGACCCGAAAAAATTCTTGAACTGCCCTGATTACATCAATACCTACAATATCCCGGCACTTTTTGAAGAATTTTCCATTCAAGCCATCAGGTCCAGGAGCCCCATGTTGCTTGAGGTCCCAAACTGCAGTTTTAACTTCATCTTCTGTAGGCAGTTGCATAAGCATGCTATTATCGTCCTGATTAATTAAGTTTGGTATATGTTGCAGGATATTAATATCATCCACCTGACTGTCAACTGAGTAGAGATTGGAAAAGAAGGAGACAGCAGCATTACCAATTTCTGGCATATTAGTAACCAAGTTACCATCTTAATTCTAATTTTCACAAAAGAATGATAGAATTTAGAATTAGAGTCACCCTCCTTAAGCCAATGTATGTGTGCCTTTTGCTTCCAGAATTTCTTCTCCATCTTGTACTTGGTCATGAGTAATGCTCTCATATGAGACCAGTTCTCTCTGTTGCTATCAGAAGGATCATCTTCATAAGACTGTTCTGCTTGCTGGACCAAAGATTCACAGTACTTGATATCCTCAAACAGGTTGCCAAAGGTGTCTTTATTCCAAATTCTGAGGTCTGTTTTAAGACATTTGAGCTTTGAGACTAAACCTCTCATCCTCAAACAGGTTGCTAATGTTTTTCATTTCATCATATATAATCTTCAAGTTAATCACCTCTCAATTATGATCCATGACATAACTAGTTGTTTCTTTATACCATGCTAAAAAATTAAAAAAAAAAGTGTCAATATGGAACAAAATAACCAGGGCCGGTCCTGTCTATTTTTAGGCCTATGGGGGACATAATATTTTGGGCTTATATTCAAGACAAATAATAAATTATACTTATTTAAAATAATAATTATAATAAAATTAGGGGAATGTCGACTTTGAACCCCACCTTTTGGGTGATGTTGGATTTTGCACCCCATTTTGAAAAAACTTTGATTTTGCACCCCAACACATAACATTTTGTGAAGAACTTTTTTGAATGGGATGCAAAATCAAAGGATTTTTAAGTGGAATGGAGTGCAAGTCAAAGTTTTTGAAAATTGGGTGTAAAGTTCAATATGACCCAAAAAGTGGGGTGCAAAGTCAAATTCCCCCATAAAATTATCTGATAAAGGTCATTAAATAAAAATGAAACTCATTTTATTATTATTTAAATTATATATTTGGTGAAAAGTAACAACACAAGTATCACATAAAAAGAAAAACATTACTTAAAAATGTTTCTCACGGAATTTTCAAGATTAAATTTCTTAACAAAAGCAAAAAATTTCATTGATCCCTTCTAACATAACCTTGTTATTTCTAACCAATCATTCCAGCCAAGTTGGTTGCGAGGTTACCGTGCCTAGTAGGAGGTCTCAAGTTCAAATCCCGCTAGGAACATAAGGGTTTGAAACTCAATGAACTGAGTTTCAACCCTGATTACTCCATGCTCCCCCAGCCCCCTCCCCCAGACCCCCCCCCCCCCCCAGAGTTAAAAAAATGTCATTTCTAATCTTCTTTTTCTATCTTTATCCCAACCTGATTCACCAATTTTATCAAGAATAATTTATTGATCACGGATGGATTGTTTGAAGCCTTGAAAGAAGAATTTTTTTGGTCACCGACCGCCGTTTGGGCTTCTTGATTGATTGACTTTAATTCTTAACAAACCGCTAAGGCATCCACTGCTTTGTAACGTTCTTTACCTTTGTTGATATTGGATGGGCTTTGCGAATTGGGAGTTTTGGACTTGGAAGGCCTAACATAACTTGGTAATTTTGTAATTAAAAGGATTATAAAACTTAGAGATCCGAAGAAAATTAAGAGAGGTGTGCCACTTTACATTTATTTTAAAATTAAGCCTTAAACCAATTAATTGAGCTTAAAAATTATAAATAAATAAAAAAGTCTACTCACACTACATACAAAGAAATATTTTTGGACCTATTCCCCCCCCCCCCCCTTTTTCTTGGGCCTAGGGCGGTTACCCCTGTTGCACCCCCTAGGGCCGCCCTTGAAAATAACGTATGTATATACATCTTGCTTGTCAAGTTTTTTAGCTTTATCCGAAGAACCTAAAATCATTTGCGTCTGTAACTGTATTGTAAATTTGTAACCCATATCTTCTTATTAGTGAGCATAATATAAAGAACTCTACTTGTACACTTTTCTGTACATTTTTTGTACGTTGCCTGAAATATGTTCAAAAAATTTCTATGTAAGCACACAATTTGTTTACCATTACGTTAATTAATAGGAGTACCAAGGATAGAGTTTAAGTAAGGCACCCAACTTATAACTTTAAATTGATCTCTTTGAGATTCCAGGTGATGACGTATAAGTATTGTTAAAACTATACATAAAAATGCATAGATATATCATATATATGTATGTATAACGCATTGACAAAAAATTAGGTGGGGAGGTTTCTACTGCCAACCCTTTGCCCCCTGAGACTCTGTTCCCACTTGAGTTAAGCTTGTAGTTTATGACAAACACTGGACCTGGGGTTGGCCATAGAGCCTGCAATCAAAACGCGTCTGACCCTTTTAGTCCCAATGTCAACCAGGGAAGAATTAAATACGGCTGGCAAAACAAACATAAACTAATGGGACTAAATAATTGAACTCACAAATGTCAGCTAAACAAGGCTGTTTGGCCACCGGGTCTTGTTCATAGGGAGGTGGTTCTTGCCCGTACACCATCTCACAACTCATATCTTCAAAATCTGTTTCATTTCACATTAATTTAGCTAGTACTATGGCTAATAACTCTTTCACTCCTTTCCTAATTTAAATCAAATCTAAATCTATATGGCCTTTTAAAACCCATGTAGGTTTGATTTAAAAGAAAGAAAAAATGAAAACTGCATTCAGCTAAAGTTTTTGAATGAATGAAAAAAAAAAATTTCATAAATCATTACTGAAATTATGAACAAAAATGTGACTAAAGTTACTTTGAGTGTAGCATCAAGGCCACTGTAGCGTAAACATGAACATAGCTATAATAACTAAAAGGATACGAATATAGTCACTACCGACTCACTACATATCACATGTCATATTTTTGTTCATCTTTATTTTAGTAATATAAATACATATATTATAGTCAGGAGCTCCTAACCGGAACCGCCGTGTAGAATTCACTGTTTGGGACTGTTCCCCAAAAGAATTTTTTTATGAAACTTTTTTAGCAAGTTCATCAGCAAGTCTAGTTTATGCCCACCAAATCTCAACTTATAATTCAATCGAGAAGACAATTAAATAAATTATTAAAACATATTGAGCTTTATATATATAGAGAGAGAGAAAGAGAGTGGCGTTCCTGTCAGGCCGGCCTGACAGGACCTGCCGTCCGGCCAAGCCTGCTTGAGGGCCTTCTTGGTGGAATTTTTTGATAATTTTTTTTAATATGTTCTTCATCAAGTCTAGTTTATTCCCACTAATTTCAGCTAAAAAATCAATCTAGAAGACAAATAATTAAACTATTTAAGAACACTGCGATATAAATATATATATATAAGCAGCGCAGTGTTTTTCAATTACATATTTGACCCCGATTAAGTTTTTGCTGAAAATTGGTGGGTATTAACTAGACTTGATGAAGAACATGCTCAAAAACATTTATCAAAAAATCCACCGGGAAGGCCTTCAAACAGGCTCGGCCAGACAGCTGTCCCGGTGAGGCCGGCCTGCTATGACGATTCATGTGTGTGTGTGTGTAATTATTTCACGAAAAAGAGCGTGAATGGGTAATTTAGAGAGTAATGGTAATGGAAAGAGGGAATAGCGTACTTGGATTCATAGTTAAAGGAAGTCCAAATTCTTTGGTGAAGAAGTCTTGAGTAGGAAGTTTGCACATGTTAACACACATTCCTACACATCCACTGTTCTCCAGGTACCTTGAGATGAGTAATGTGAATGGATTAGTATTATTGAAGACCCTGTTTGGGGTGGTAGTCACTCTCCAATTTTCATTTTATTTGAAAACTGAAAGGCACATTTTGACATTTAAAAAAGAAAAAGTGAAGTTTCCAAATTAAATATTAGTATCGGTATGAGTACTTTTGGTTTACTATACAGCATAAGAATATGTATGTTGGATTTGAAATCTTTCCAAACCTGTGATACCACTATATGATATTTTTTATAATCTTGAGGTTGCATCTTAAAACTGAAGAGTAACCTAGAATACTCCCTCCGTCTCCGAAAGAAGTTTCCAATCACTATTCATTGGTCAACTTGAATCACTCTTAATCCTTTACTTTATATATCAATTTTTTATCAAACTGAAATTTTCTTGATCGGGCTTTGTAGCGGTTTTAATCTAGTTTCTGAATATGTAAATTTTATTTACTAAAAATAATCCGAGTGTGAACAGTGATCGAGTTGCTTTATCGTCAGTCAAGCATCGTAAACCGAACGAGAACTTCTTTCGGGGACGGAGGGAGTATTATATAGTGGTTTATTAATTTATATTAATCCAGTATGAGGTGGATAGTGGACCAAACAAATTTTTAACAAACTACCCAAAATCATTAGAGTATTAAACAAACAATTAAACCACAATTGAACTTGATTTCGATACCATCTTAATATTTTGGGTTCCATTCTACAAGGTTAAACTAATAGAAGAAATAAACTAGAATCTTATATATTGGTTTATTATTTGAATTTATATGATTAGGTGTGGAATAAATACTTTAACACCGTTCAACATACTCTTGATAATTGTAACGATACCAAAAATTATTTTATACCTGCATTTCTTTATTAGTACTCCACTCTTTTGCTTCACTCCGTTCACCTCCGCTTCTACAACCTACTTATCAATGAGTTACATGTTCGGGTCTATGGAAAGAGCTATAAATCATTGTTGAAGAATTTGTCTATGATAAACTAAATATAAAATAACAAATTAACATTTAAGACCTGTGATATTTCTCCAATCATTTTGGAGCTCCAAGACTAATCTCTTTGGTAGTGCAATATGGTATTCTGAAACATACATTTTGGAGCTCCAAGACTCTCTTTGGTGTTGGTCTCTAACTTTTAGTGGATTCTACTACATTGGACAAATTCACTGGGTGATGAAATGTTATGTATACGATCATACCCAATGAATAAATATGGTATAAGAAGTTAAATTTCAGAGTTGAGCATTTAATTCTAATGTGTGCGGGAACCTCAACATTTGTAGGTCAATGCAGAGTTAAGCATAGAGTTTGTTACTTTACCTCGGATGGTCCAACTAACCAGTAGAAGAAAGGAGCTGTTATTGCTGCGTTAAACTCTGCTGTCCATTTTGTTGGTGGGAACAACTTCCTAAACTGCATTATTTTAAAAATACTACGTAGTAGCAAGTACTAAATGAGATTGGTCATCATGTTTGATGATTAGGAGGTTGATTTTATAATGCGTAGTATTAATCTTGTAGCAAAACATGGCAGCACCATGTTATCGCGGCTTTGGCATACTAATCATGGCCTCTCAAAAAAACAACCTGACAAAGCTGTATAATAGAGTGTTTGCAACAACTTTAAAAAAGCACTTTTCAACTTTTAACTTAAAAAAGGTTAAATGGAGTGTTTTTAAACACATGTTTCTACTTAAATTAAGCACTTTAAAGTTAAAAGCTATTATAGAGGTGCTTCTAACTGCTTCTAGGTATTTTTGTAAATAACTTTATTATAATACTAAATATTTTCAGACGACAAATCCCAAAACACCCTCCATCCCCATTCTTTAATTTCGGGCTTCAGCACTTCATCACTGTAAGGTGTTGGTCCGTTTCTGAAGAGCCGCAAGTTTCCATACTGTTTTGGGCCGTACATTTATGGGCCGCGCGTCCTAGTTACTTTGGGGTTAGGTTTTACTCTCTATAAATACAAGTCCTCTCCCTTGTAATCAGTTGATCCGAAATTAATAGCAATTCCTGGTTTGGTAGCGCCCCCAGACGTAGTCATTCGTGGCGAACTGGGTTACCAAATTTTGTGTGTTCTTCTTATTGTTTTCGTGTTGCGTGAATTAATTCCTAACAATCACCACTGTCAAAGCCCCATCAACCCAACCAAATGTTCTTCCGTCTATGTATATATAAACACACATATGATATATACATATAGTTTAAACACATAAACTGTAGGGAAAATTTTCAGGAAGAATAAGGATGTTTTTACTTGGACTGTAATTCGTCTCCCAGACCAGATCAGACCAGACAAGACCAGACAAGACCAGCAAATTACAGCCCAAGTAAAAACATCCTAAATAGAAAGCCGTTGGGGTTGGTTTGCTGGTCCATCAAAATCCCTCTTTCATTGAGGAAAACATAGAAGGCTGTTAGGAGAGAAAGAAAAGGTTGCAGGGGTACGCCAGCAATTTTGTCTCTTCAAGCTAATTTCGGATTCTTCAATTAATTTATAAAAGCGTATTTTGGTACATTAATAAAATGGTACATCCAAAAGCACTTTTTCATCAAACGCTCCAATTTTTACCCTTTCATTTTAATCACTTCTATTTTAAAGCACTCTCAATTTTTGCTTTTCAGCACTTTCTCTAAAATCACTTAAAAATCACTTTTTAAAAGTCCAAGCAATCGCAAACACCCCACTTGAACTTGCCGAATTAATCATGACCTCTCGAGAAGTAACCCTAAACACTTGAGATATAGCTAAATCTTATAAGCTAGAGTGTTATCCAGCTGGAATACCCCACTTGTCTGCATGAGGAATAATCCATAATGATGTCGGCTTTAGAGTTTACATCTTATTGTTCTTTTCTATGAAAAGTGCAGCAAAGGATACCCTGTGTAAAGCATGGTCATGATGTTTTTTTGAATGTTTTTAGTGTAAATGTACTTGCAAACTTATTGAAAGCAGCAAAAAGCGCCAAAAAAGCGTGAAGCGATGGCTCATCGCTAAGCTTTGCGTAAGCGCAATCCTGTGAGAAAGCTTCGCTTTCGCTTTTCTGTTAAGCGACGAAGCGCAAAAACGAGCGCTTTTCATGGCGTCTCACAAAAAACTACTGGTCAACAAAAGCCGGTAACTTTTTTTAATTTTAGTTTACCTAGGGTTCTGATAGACAAATCATTCCCAGAACATTGGGTATATTGTGAATACGTTAGTTAAGAAAGTTAATTACTAATACCTTCTTGCTAAAAAAAGGTTGAGAATATGTTGTAAATTAATAATATATAAATATTTATACTTGTTTATGCATTCTTTGTAGACAAAAAATGTCAAGAGCACAAACTACAAGTGAGGATCCAGCATGGCAGCATGGATTAAAAGTCAAACAAGACGACAACACACGTGTGCAATAATTTATTGTGACAAAACTACAAATGGAGGTATATACCTCCGCAAACAACATCTTGCCAAAGGCTTTAAAAGTGTTAAGGCGTGTCAAAAGTGTCCTCAAGAAGTCAAAGTTGTCATGAAAAAGATTCTTGATAACAAAAGTCAAAGAAAGTAAGCTATGAAAAAGAACTTTTCAACTCCCGATTTTGATGATGATGTTGAGGAGATGGAATATGTAGATGGTATAAGCAATGCATCATCGACCAAAGGCTCCGTGAATTTGTATTTCAAAACTGTTTCATAAGAACATGAAACTTTGAAACGAACAAGAGGGGCAGAAGTAACTATAGCAACTTGCAAGAAACAGTTGGGTTGAAAGAAAAAGATGTTGGCGCATTTACACGAATAATGTATGAAGTTGGGTTGCCCTTTAATTCTGTCAATTACAAAACATTACAAAGTTTCATTGATGATGTGGCACAACATGGACTCGGCATGAAAGCTCCTACTTATTATGATGTTCGAGTGCCGTATCTTAAAAAGAAAGTTGAACATGTGAAGGAGCTTTATAACCCACATGAGGATATTTGCAAGCAATATGGTTGTTCATTGATGATGGATAAGTTGATTGATAGAAGAAATCGTGCTTATATCAATGTGTTAGTTAATTGTTCACTTGGGTCTTATTTTATCCAATCAGTTGAAGTAAGTTTGGACATTGTGAATGGAGAGAAGATGCTTGAGCTCTTTGAACTCTTTGTAAATAGAGTCGGACGAGAAAATGTTGTTCAAGTTATATGTCCAACCTATGTAGTGAACATTAAAATACGGAGGTTGTATAAAATTTAGTTGAATTTATTTAGTCTTTCACTCTTTCCATTTTCTTATCGATCTCTTAGGCAAGGATTTAGTAGAGAAGTACCCAACAATTTATTTGACACTGTTTGCTGCTCATTGCATCAATTTGATGTTCAAAGATATTTTTGAGCTTAAGCACTTTCAGACAATCTACAAAAGAGCTCTCAAATTATTAGTCTACATCCATTCAAAAACAAAATTGCTGAACTTGTTTAGGAAATTCACAAGGAAGAAAAAGTTGGTGAATTTTGCAAAAGACAAAATTTGCCACAACTTTCTTGACATTCAAAAGGCTGAAATAGCATAAGAATAAGTCGATCAAACTTTTTAGCTGAGAGGAATTCCTTACGAGCAACTTATCCAAGGAAGAGGCAACAAAGGAATGTGGTAGAATTGTTCATATGTCATCCTTTTGGAATACACTTCATGAGGCTCTTAAGGTTGGAGGACCACTACTATCAACACTTCGAACGGTTGATGGAGACGTGAAGCCGACTATGGGATATGTCTATCCTGCAATGGAGTTGACAAAAGTAGCAATAGCCAAAGCCTTCAACAACGACCAATCCAAATACAAGAAAGTGTTTGACATAATAGACACGAGATAAATTTTTCAACTCCGTCAGCCATTAAACCTAGTTGCTTTCTTCTTGAATTCAGATTTCTTTCGATTTCCAGTTGAGTCACAAGTATCTTCTAGCATAAATTCAGCAGAGGTGGTAAGTGGGTTTTATGACTGTTTGGAGAGATTGGTTCCAACTTCCAAATGAAGAACTTCAAGCAACAATTGTTAGTGATGTGTCCATGAGGGAATTAGGACGCGGACTATTTAGCAGTTCATTTGCGAAGAAACAACGAGGCATTAAGCCCCAGGTTAAAATCTATTGATCAATCTATATTGTTTTTAAAAAATTTATTACAATTTAGTGTGGCTTTAACATTTTAAATTTATTTTATAGTTGATTGGTGGACACCTTTTGGTGTTAGTGCTCCCCATTTAAAGGAGTTTGCAATCAAGCTTCTCAGTTTGACAACAAATGCATCAGGATGTGAGAGGAATTGGAGTGTATTTGAACATGTAAGAATAGTTATTCATACTTATTCGAATTTTTGAATACTTAACAGATGCATTCCAAGAGGAGAAGTCGTCTACAATACAATCACCTTAATGATTTAAGATTTGTTAAGTACAATAGGGCTTTGAGACGTCGTTGGGAAATGCGTGATTCTATCGATCCTATTTGCTTCCAATACATAGACATGGCAAATGAATGGTTGACCAATGCAGTTAGTAATGTAAATGAAGAGTTGGTCTTTATTGATGGAGATAATTTGACCTGGGGAGATGTTGCGAAGTTTTCTGATGTACATGATACGACATATTCTCTTAGACGCAATTCTAAAGGGAAAGATAAAGCGGAAAATTCCGACCCCAAGGGAGAAGGTAAAGCCTCCACAACCTCCACCCGTAGATTTGTTGATGAAGATGAGGATGAAGATGAGGAAGATGTTGGAGTGTATGATGATGATAGTGAGGACTTTGATACTTTAGTTATGGATGAAGAAGGATGCTACATTGACGAGGAGGAGGATGAAACAATAGAGTGATGAAGATTCTTGGAACCGTTTTTAATGAAATTATGACATTGGGTGATTGAGGTTTTTATCTTTATGGCCGCACTAGTAGTATTCTCATAATTGTGTGATGAATGTTTTCTCACTTTATGGCACACTAGTATTATTCTTGATGACATTTATGACTACTTGTTCATTTTTGGCTTAATTATACATTATACACCCCCGTCCCGCTAGGATCTTCTTGTTTTCCTTTTTTAGCCGTCCCAAAATGATCTTTTCATTTCACTAAATGGAAAGTTGTCATACATCAAAACAGTGTCAAACAGTGCAAAACAGTGTCAAACAGTGTTGAAACAGTGTACTCTACAGTAAAGTCAAATTTATTTCCTAAATATGTGTGTAGGTCAAAGTAAGAAGTTCTTAGCGGGACGGAGGGAGTATATTTTATTTTATTTTATTTTATTTTATTTTTTAAAGCATCACTTATTGTGAGAAAGCTACCCTTCACTTAGCGCTTTCGCTTTAAAGCAAAGCCAGAACTCAACGCTTTTGGACGCTTATCACTTTAAAAAAATTGTACTTGATACAAATAATTGACATTTTAAATTTAAAATCATTGATCCATCCCTACTTCTATTTTCCATCATTTGCAATGGAGTCAAAGACTCTCTATTCTTTGGCTTGAAAATATGATGGAATAAAGCAAAATGACTCACTAAACTGTCTGTGCTTCTTTATTATGAAGCAGCAGTCAACTCATGCAATTTTTTACGCGCTTTTCACTATAGGTCATCTGGAAAGAGTCTCTCTATGCTTTAGTACAGGGGTAAGACTGCGTACATCCGACCCCCCTTACCCCACCGTAGGTGGGAGCCTTTGCTGCACTGAGATAATGATAATGATGATGATCCATCCCTAATTCTTTAACTAAGATGTTGATAGTGAAGAGGAAATGTTGAGTTGGGCGGATATAAAGATTTAGTTTTAGATAATTTTTTACATAGAAATATAAGGTTTTCAATTACTTTGGAGCGCCAATACATAAAGAAATCACTAGTGCGCTAATACTTTGCAACACTAGAGGCTTTTTCTTTTTCCTTGGATTTGGAACTTTGCGCTTTATCTTTCCCTTTAGAATTGTGTTTAAGACAATATGACGTATCATGTACATCAGAAAACATCGCAACATCTCCCTAGATCAAATTATCTTCATCATCAAAGACCAACTCCTCATTTACATCATCAATTGCACCGGTCAATCATTTATTTGTCATGTCTATGTATTACAAGCAAATAGGATCTATAGAAACGCGCATTTCCGAGCGACGTCTCAAATACCTATTGTACTTAACAAATACTAAATCATTAAGGCGACTGTGCTCTAGATGACTTCTCCTCTTGGAATGCAACTGTTAAGTATTCAAAAATTGTAGCTAGTCAAGTGCATCGGAAAAAATTAAAATTCACCTACACTCTTCCATGCAAATAAGTGGGAATAACTATTCTTACGTGTTCAAATACACTCCAATTCCTCTTACATTGTGATGCACTTGTCAACCTGAGAAGCTTGGTTGAAAGCTCCTTTAAATGTGTAGCACTAGCACCAAAAGATGTCCACTAATCAATTATAAAATAAATTTAAAATGTTAAAGACACACTAAATTGTACTACCTCCGTCCCGGTGGACTTTGCCAAGTGCAAAGTAGGTGATAAATAGGAATAGTAAAAACTGTGTGGTTTAAATTTGTGCAGAGGAGAGAGAAATGTGCAGAACCACAAATTAGTTGCTTTAATAAGAAAGTGACAAAGTTTTTTGGGACAACTAAAAACATAAATTTGGCAAAGTCCAATGGGACGGATGGAGTAATATTTTTTTCAAAACAATATAGATTGATCAATAGGTATTAACCTTGGGCCTTAACGTCTCGTTATTTCTTTGCAAAAGAACTGCTAAATAGTTCACGTCATAATTTCCACATAAACACCTCATTAACAATTTTTGATTGAAGTTCTTCATTTGGAATCAATCTCTCCATATAGTCATAAAAACCACACATCACTTCAGCTGAATTTATGCTAGAAGATATTTGGGACTAACCTAAAAATCGATAGATATCCAGATTCAAGAAGAAAACAACTAGGTGTGATGGCTGACGGAGTTGAGAAGTTCATCTCGTGTTTATTATGTCAAACACTTTCTTGTATTTCCATTGGTTATTGTTGAAGGCTTTGGGTATTGCTGTTTTTGTCAACTTCATTGCAGAATAGACATATCCATAGCCAGCTTCACGTCTCCATCAACCATTGGAAGTGTTTGACATAAGTGGTCCACCAACCTTAAGAGTCTCATGAAGTGTATTCCAATATGATGACATGTCGACAATTTTACCACACTCATTTGGTGCTTCTTCCTTCGAATAGTTGCTCGTAAGGAATTCCTCACAGTTAAAAAGTTTGATCAACTTATTATTATGCTCTTTCAGCCTTTTGAATGTCAACAAAGTTGTGGCAAATCTTGTCTTAGCAAACTTCACCAACTCTCTCTTCCAAGTGAATTTCCCAAACAAGTTCACCAATTTTGTTTTTGAATGGATGTAGACTGACAATTTGACAGCTCTTTTGTAGGTTGTTTGAAAGTGTTTAAGCTAAAAAATGTCTTTGAACATCAAATTGATGCAATGAACAACAGCACACGATGTCCAATAAATTGTCGGGTACTTCTCTATTAAATCCTTATCTAAGAGATAAGAAAATGGAAAGACTAATTAAATTCAACTAAATTATATATTAGAGACTATGAGTTCAAGTATGAAATAAACTTATCAGCTTTGACATTTTCAGAAACATTATCAGATATAATTTGAACACCATTTTCTCGCCCGACTCCATCCTTAAAGAGTTCAAAGAGCTCAAGCATCTTCTCTCCATTCACAATGTCCAAACTTACTTCAAGTGATTGGATAAAATAAGACTCAAATGAACAATTAACTAACACATTGATATAAGCACGATTCCTTTTATCAGTCCACTTATCCATCATCAATGAACAACCGTATTGCTTGCAAATATTCTCATGTGGTTTAAAAAGCTCCTTCACATGTTCAACTTCCTTTTTAAGATATGGCACTCGAACTTCATGATAAGTAGGGGATTTCATGTCGAGTCCATGTTGTGCCACAACATCAATGAAACTTCATAAAGTCTTGTAATTGACACAATTAAAGGGCAACCCAGCTTCATACATCCATCGTGAAAACGCGCCAACAGATTTTTCCCACAACTGTTTCTTGCAGGTTGCTATAGTTACTGCTTCCCCTTTTGCTCGTTTCAAAGTTTAATATTCATTTGAAACAGTTTTGAAATACATACTCATGGGGCCTTTGGTCGATGATGTGTTGCTTGTATCATTTACAGACTCCATCTCTTCAACATCATCATCAAAATTAGGAGTTGAAAAGTTCTTTTTCATAGCTTCCTTTCTTTGACTTTTGTTATCAAGAAGCTCTTTCATCGATGATGCGTTGCTTGTATCATTTACAGACTCCATCTCCTCAACATCATCATCAAAATTAGGAGTTGAAAAGTTTTTCTTCATAGCTTCCTTTCTTTGACTTTTGTTATCAAGAAGCTCTTTCATTGTAACTTTGACTTCTTGATGACACTTTTGACATGCCTTAACGCTTTTACAATCCGTGGCAAGATGTTGTTTGTGACGGTATATACCTCAACTTCTAATTGTCACAATATATGAATTGCATACGTGTGTTATCATCTTGTTTGACTTTTAATCCATGCTCCCTTGCAGGATCCTCACTTTTAATTTGTGCTATAGACATTTTTTGTCAATAAAGAGTACATAAACAAGTGTAAATATTTATATATTATTAATTATTAATTTACATATTCTCAACCCTTTTTTAGCAAGAAGATATTAGTAATTAACTATCTTAACTAATATATTCAGAATATACTCAATGTTCTGGAATAAGCCAGACCGCGAAACTAATATATTCAGAATATGATCAGTCTGCAAGGAGGAGGATATGACTGGACAATACAACATCACACACATGGCAGAAAATACTCAATGTTCTCTTAGTCTGCAATTAAACTTGACCTTGACCCATTTCCAGTTTACAAGACTAGCTCTAGAATCGGCAGAAACTCCATAAAGGGGAAGAAGATTGGAAGAATGAACTAATAACTCATAACAACTAAGAGAAATACCTCAGCAGATCGGCAGAAAGGAGAAGTGTAGCAGTTGGAAGAAAAAGAAGAAAGAGGAATACCTCAGCAGATCAGTGATGTCTCCTGGTTGTTGCTGCTCTCGAGAAGACCTGGAGTCTTCGAACAAATGGGAACGGAGAAGTCTTCGAATGAATGGGAATGATTTGTCTATCGTAAGCCTAGGAAAACTAAAATTAAAAAAAAAATTACCAGCTTTTGTTGACTGGTCGCTTTTTTGAGACGCCATGAAAAGCGCTCGCTTTTTGCGCTACGTCACTTAACAGAAAAGCGGAATAAAGCGAAGCTTTTTCACAGGTTGCGCTTACGCAAAGCATAGCGATGAGTCATAGCTCACCAGCGCTTCACGCTTTTTGGTGCTTTTTGCCGCTTTTAATAAGTTTGGTTCCACTATAGGATCAGTGACGGACCCACTAAGGGTCTTTTGGATCGGTGGTCATATTAAGGTATTTGATTTATCATATTTGTGAATGTTTTTCAATACAATTTAGAATGAAAAGATAATTCGATAGTGTACTCATATTATATAAAAAAAAATCAGAGCACCCGGAGTAGTTCGGACGTTAATTGAACTTAATTCAAATATTGACTCTTTGGATGAAGAAAACCATAGTCTAAGACTATCTCCAAAATCCGGAGCTTTCTGATTTGTACTATTTAGTAATTAGTAGTGCATAAACACCACATTTTAGTATGGTTTTACATTATGTTTACTTAGCTTTTGTACAATTATGGTGTAATCTTTATCTTCTAAAATCAAAGTAGAATTAGAAGATATTAAGATATTTTGACATGTAAACAAAAACATGATGAAAACATGCTAAAAATATTATGATTGTATATTCAGAACTTTTTTTATCTTCAGGAATTTTTTTATCTTCAAATATTTTTAAGGGCTACATATATTTGTATAAATGGTTTTAAATTTAAAAGATGACTTTTGGAAGCATAGCATACATAACCTAATTCCACAAATTTGTGTCTTCAACAAATTAAAGCAATTTTGTTGAAGTAAAAAAAAAAATAGGCCGATGGAGTCATAGTTTACCTGCGCCGGAGCAGCAGGTGGAAGCATGGAAAGTAGCACCTCCCGCACCACTTGTTGCTGCTGCGGCCGATTCCTTCCTTGCATCACTCTTCTGGACAACTCCACAAAGCTTTCGTAGTCATACCCAAACCACCCTTTCCTCTTCACCTCCGACGACCGCCCCTTTTGACCCCCAAATTTCTCCATTTTCCGAGCAAACAGACTCATGAAAACCTTTTCAAACAGCCCATCATTGTACTTCGTCTTCTGCCCCATCGGTGCCGGTTGTCCCGACGGCTCCGCAATGCCACACCGGAGAGTGCGGTTACCCCGACCGCTGTCCCATCGCCGTCGTCTATAGCTAGCAGAACGTGGGTTATCGGGAAAAACTGATAAACCTGTATGATGATATGCTCTGTGGATCGGTTGGAAATTAATCAGCGCCACCATCTGAATTTAATTTGTGTAAATTATGTTTGTGCTTTGGAGATAAGGAGAGCACTCTCAATTGACGTAAAGGGATAAAATTGGGCTGAAATACTGCTGGCCACAATTGTGTGTGCTATGGAGTAAAGAATGACAAGAACGGTTCTTTTTATACTCCACTTCTTATTTAGAGAAATGCTAGGGGTACACAACTTTGTACACAAAATGTTGTTCACAGACAATTGGTACGGAGTTATCTGTGAGCACAGACAAGAATTGTCTGTGTACACAGACAAATTTGTTTGTGTCCACAAACATTTACTTTTTTGTAAAAAGTACACTGACATACGCCTGACACTGACACCAGTTTGCAAATCAATCAATATATGTGCAGTGCCTGTGTGCACAGACAATTTTTTCATGTTGCACAGACAATTATTTATATATGTGCACAGACAATATTTACCACACAGACAATAGTTGTGCGACTCACAAACAATAGTTGTTTGTGTGATCAATTTTAGTTGTCGGTGTGATCAATTTCAATTGTCTAAGTGAACTAAAAATTTAATTGTGTATATGCCTCCAAATGAATGATGTAGTTGAATATGTCAATTTACATGTAATTTGAAAAAAAATAGAAAAATAATCAAAATAGATGAAATAATATGAATAAGATAATTTTATGCAAATAATGGAAAAAAAAATACATAAAAAGGTAGAGAAAAGAGGATAAAGAAGGAAAGAAGAGAATTTTAGAAGAGGTTGGGTAATAAAGAGAGAAAAGAGAAGGGAGAGAGGGGGATCAGAGAAAGGAGTGAGAAACGAGAGAGAAGAGGGAGGGGAGAAATGAGAATTTTTGGGGGGTTTTATACCATGTACAAGTTGTGTACATGGTGTGTACACTAAGAAAAATCCCCTTATTTATGTGTTTCTTGCTTTTGCTTTTGACACAATATTTTAGGATAAAATAGTAAGGGTAGTAAATAGTGTAAAAAAGTAGGAGAAAGTGTGTAAAAGTATGAAGGATAAGATAAAAAGTAGATAAAGTAAGGGTAGCTGAGTATTTTATAAATGATAAACTTGTCAAAAATGGAAGTGTAGAGAATTTTTAAATACAACCCAAATATGGCCCAACACACATGAGTCGTGACCTTCACACAGACATTGTGATGAAAACGGTTAGCAACACAAGAGGGGGGTGAATTGTGTGTGTGTGGAACCGTGGCAGTTTTTTCGCCGAGTTCTAGAGTGGGATAGAGGGAATTGCGAAATAGTAAAGTGCACAAGAATTTAACGAGGAAAAATCCCTTGGCTCAAAGGGATTAAAAAACCTCGACCTCCCTCGGAGGAATTTTAAACAACTTCACTAAACAAGCCTTTGAAAGAGTTACAAGAGTGATTCTCCTAATCTACCCTTGAGCCTCCCCAACTCTATCCTCTCTAGGAAGAGTTATGCATCTCTACCTTGCGGGTAGAGAGCCTCTCAGCTTTATCACAAAGCTCTCACACACACACTTAACCCGAGGCAGCTACTCTAGCTAATTAAGCCTCAATATTTCGAGTACAATATGAAAGGGAAAAGAAAAACTCTATCTAGAACTCCGAGCGGGCAGTTTTAGGCGCCAAGGACTTGTTCTTTTCTTGAATGATTCTTCTAAGTATTTTTCTCGGTTCAGCTCATTCTGCGAATCACCTTTAGTTCGGAATATATAGCTCCTTTTGAGACAACCGTTGGTTCCACTTTCCTTAGTTGGTTGCTTGATTATTTAATGCACTTCCCTTGATAGTTCTTGAATTTCTTTCCTTCCAATAGATCTTTCCAACTCGGTCTCAATCACGAGTGGATTTGTTCATTATATACGAATTATCATATATGGAAGAAAAGCATCGGTCATATTAAAAGATTATCACCAAATACGAAACTAATTTACCAAAGGAAGCTTTTGGTCAACTTTTTGTAAATGGAAGCTTTCATAATAATTTCCTTCCTTCTTTGGAGTGGATCATTTGAAAAATCTTTCCATTAGTGATATCAAATTATGCTACGGATACTACAAAATCCCAAAAGATAATAATGTCATGCAGGCCAATTCAAGTTCGAATAACGTTGCCTAACATAGAATTCAAATAATCATTTAAAATAAAGCCTCAAATAGAACCAGGAGAAGTTCTAGTTCTGGTCTCTGCATGGGTTAGCCACATATATTTTAAGGACCAGGTCTATCTATTGTTCCTGCATGGTTAGTCATCAACAAAACAACATGTTCAACACATTGCGAGTTTTTAAATTTGATCGTTCGGCAAAATTTCTCACCACTTTAACATTTGAGCTATCTGTGCGAGTAATTTTACCAAAGTTCATTGTCGAGGGCATAACTCACCTAGTAGGAGGGGGTGTCATAAGGGAGCGGTCTTGATTAAATTTCAAATAAAGACTTGGATTTGGAACTTCACTCTCTTTCTATCAGTGTGTGATTAAAACTTAATATACATCCTCTCATGTAACCGTCTGGTCAATTCTGGTGGACTTGGGATAGGGTGTCATCCTTTGCCAAAATTGACTGACACGTAAAATTATAAAGTTAAAATTGTGTGATTGAAGTTTGTGCAAAGAGGGAGGAATTAACAAGAACGAAAGTTGGTAGGAGTTAGAACCACCAAAACAAAAAAGTTTGCAAAATTATGAGACACAGAAGTAGTGATTTTTTTAACCCGACATGGAGGTAAGGTGGGGCGTGCTGTACAACCGTCCCTTGAAACTTGAAAATGTTCTATTATATGTATTACCTCCGTCTAATTTGATTTGTACATTTTCTTGTTTTTATTGTTCCAAAACTAGGTATGAGAATACGAACAAATCGACCTACAAATTGATCGAAATCGAACTGAATGAAACAAAAACCGGCTAAAATCATCTAACCCATCGGCGATTTGGTTTACGGTTTATACTTGTTGGCTATCAAAACGATTGAACCAAAATTGACCAAAAAAAAGTCAACAAAAATATGCTAAAGCTGACCAGAACCGATACAAAATAACCAAAATTAACCGAAATAAAAACGATCTATACCGACTCAAGTTGTCGGTTCAGTTCTCGAAATCACCTTTTTTGAACCGAGCAGATGTAATCAAAATTGATGAAACAGAACTGATGAACACCCCTAATGTCAACTATAATATCCACATCTAGTCTCACTCTCTATCTATCAGGTTGTGATTATAGTCCAACTTACATCCTCTCATGGTTCTGTCTGGTCGGTGTTGAGAGGCTCTCAGGGATGGGGTGTCATCTTTTTTATATAATATCCACATCTAGACATTATCTGGCCTTGACATTGTGGAATTTCTTTTCATCAAAAAGTAGATAACGGAGTTTACATCGGGAGAGGCACGCTCTATATATCATTTGTATTTGTTTATATTTTTATGCCACATATGAACCATTCATGTTTTGTATCAGAGATGCCCTTGGATTTTACTGCCTTTGCCCAACTATGTTTTGGACAATTTGGTTTATGATGCTAGACCGACGATAAAGCAAACAGATCCATGTCCGCACTCAAATTATTTTTAGAAAAAAAAATACATATTCAGAAACTACATTAAAAGCTTTACAAAGTTACAAAAACAAGAACCAGATTTGATAAAAATTTGATATATAAAGTAAGAGACTAAGAGTGATTTGTGTTGACCAAGTGAATAGTGTCTGGGACAATCTTAGCGGGACGGAAGGAGTAGTAGATTGCAGTTGTATGTTTCCAGATTTATGATACTCTCTTGCCACTCTTTGAAAAACAAAAAATATCTCTCTTTTTTGTAATCCACAATAGTAACACTATTATCACATACCCATCACCCATGCAAAGATATATACTCTCATTTTGGTTTTCTAACTAATATAGAATATGTTTAAGCAAGAACTTGACAGTTCAATTAAACAATAAAAATTAAAGATTTATGGGTTTCGTGCAAGAAGATGCTATTAAGAATTCAAGAAATAAGGTCAAGAATATTGTTCAAATGTTGATTTGTGAATACAAGGGTAGTATGAGCTTGTGGTTTTCGAATGAATCCTTGCCTTCTCGAGATACCCTTATTTATTATGTTCGGTATGCCCCCTTCTTACTAAACTACATGGTAAGTACTATTTTATTTACATTTAATTTATACCGCTACTCCTCCAATCCTATTTTGACCTGTCTATACGAGAGTGCAAGACTTTCCATTCATGCATGCGTCTAGAAGCTTGCATTCTGGAGTGTTCCGAGTTGAGCTCGTGGGCCAGTCCATACGCGTGTGCCACTTATGGGCCGGTTCAGATAGCTGTGATTCCTGTGAAGTAATCCGGGCTAGGCATGAACCCGGTTCGGGTCACCTGGCCCAGGAACCGGTCCAGCCCGCTACTGTGCGGGACCGGCCCGGCCCGGTGTCTCGGGTCCGAAACCGGTCCTTGGCCCGGTTTGGTAGGTAAAGCGGGGTGGGCTCGAGCTCCTGAAATGGGGACCCGGTCCGGTTCGAGCCCAAAAATGTTTTTTTTTTCAGTTTTATTGGGCTTCCCGGGTTGGGCTTGAGGGGTTTGGGGGGTCAGGGGGTACTTAGGAAAGAAAGAAAAAAAAATACAACCAGGCCCGAGGCCCGGCCCGAACCGGACCCGGTGGCAACCTGGGCCGGTCCCGGGCCTTACCCTTAACACAAAAGGCCCGACCGGGCCTAGACCCGACGCGGACCCGATTTGGTCCATGCCTAATCCGGGCCCAACAGTATATGTGCATACGCAGGGAAAAGAACAATTGAAGCATATATTTTTATTTATGGTCTGACTAAATATGAACATAATATAACATTACAAGTTTACTTATTTCAATAATCAGAATACAATAACTAGTACCGTAAAGTATAAATTCATATTTACAATAAATATTATACGTACTTATTTGTAATATGTATGAGGATGTTCAGTTCTCGGGATCAAACTAGTACCTACGTTTGGTGCATGAGGATGAGATACAGTTATTAACAAAAGTGACTTTATATGGTTGATAAAGTAAGGATACAGTAATAACAATTTAGAACCACACAAACATTACCATCTTTGATACGAGACAATTTTAGCGGGACCCATCAAAAAAGAAAAATGAGCCCATCGTAACGGGATGAGTGGAATAAAATTTAGAGAATATTAGGGAAAATTAGTTGACGTCATTCATTAGAATTTATTACTTATTACTCCGTAATTAGTATAGTATTGTCGATAACATATAATGAAATAGTAAACTTACACTCCTTAGAGGGCACGTTCTACAAAACTTCTATTAAGACAACATTTGTTGTAGTATGTAATGAATTCCCTTTCTTTTCATGTACTAACATATAACTATCCATGACTAAATATAGGTATACTCTAACTCGTTTAGCGATTAACCTTCAAATTTGTCGATTGTCGTAGCATACAAGACAATTATAAGAAACCGTCTTCTTGTAAGTTTAAAAGTCCATGGTGATTGAGAAAGAGATATACACATGTGAGGAATGTAAATCTCATCTCCTAGGTTGCCTCCATACATATTCTTGCTCAAATGACATGATTTTGAAGTTGTGTGACAATTAATCTAGTTCCGTGACATAATTCTTTGAATTGATTTATATTACTAGAGTCTCAACCTTGATCTTATTCAGAAATTCAGAGTCACGATCTTCTTAAGGAATTTGGAAACTCATGTATTCATGCTTCAAATGCTTTCGTTTCAACTGCATTTGACTTGTGTATAGAACCACAACTTAGATATTCTTTTTTTAAAGAAGAGAACTTATTTTAAAATCATAGAAACAAACAATTCAACAACATCAAGAGACCAAACCCCCTCTAGACTACTTGTAGCCATCAGGGGCCCTCACCCCCTATCAGACATGCATATAATAGACCACCCAAAATTGAGCAAGACTAATCACTGAATATACGAGAGCTTCGAAGCCATTTTCGGCCAACATAGCCTGATTGCTTCTACACAAACTAAAAACTAAAACTACGAAACAGAAGTTATAGCGTTTGACCTCAGACGCTGCAAAAGAAAGAAAAACAAGGTACGAGACTAAAAATTTAAAATTACTACAGATAAAACTAGATAATAATGTAAAGTAAACTTGACGCGTCTTCGTCCAAACCCTAGATTCCCTATCAATCCATGGTGTTGGTTCAGGAGGGGGCGAACCAATAGCACTTCACCTTCCTCTTCCAAGACCAACTGATTGCAGATGTGATATAGATCATCAAATATCACTTAATCTTCTTCCTCCATCTCCTCCTTCCGTAAACTTGGGCCAAAACCACTATTTCCTCGTGTTTATTACCTTTCATCTCTACGTCCTTGGTTATTGTTGCTCTTGATTGGAAGAAAACTCGGGTGAAGCCTTGTGTTGCTGCTTTGTTCGCCGAAGGATTGCGCACAACACCCTGCGGACGAGAAAGATCGTTGGACGTGTTGCGTTGCTGCTTTGCTCGACGAAGCTGCGTTCCAAAACTCTGCGGGCTACGAAAAACGCCGCCCAAAACCCTACGCAGATGCCTACCGTCCGCTAATTGAGAGAAAAGCTCTCCTTAGGTATCATCAGATCATTTAATTTATTAAGAAAATCGTCTTGGATTTTAATTACTATATTATCGACCGAATCGAAAATGCATGACCGAAAAACACCAACCCAAACTTGTTAAAAACGACCAAATTCGATTCAAAATGACCGAAATTAACCGAACCAAAATCGTTAGTTACCCCCCGAGTTGTGTAGTTCGGTTATCAGTTTCAATACGATAAAATCAAAATCGATGAACCGATGAACATCTAGACATTGTCCTTGAAACTATGGAGAAAAATTATCGAAAAGAAGTAAAAGGGTTTACATAAGGAGAGATGTCCAATATAATACGTATATGATTATTATTTGTTTATCTCTTTAGTTTTTCTACCACATACTTCATCCGTCAATTAAAACTTTGCCAACTTTACTTTTTTGGATGTCCCACTAATTTTGTCACTTTCCTTTTTAAGTAAATAATTTATGGTTTCAGTTAATTCTTTTTCCTCTGCACAAACCTCAACCACATAGTTTTTACTTTATTAATCCTCGTGCCGGTCAAACTTGGCAAAGTTTTAAGGGATGGGGTAGTATCACTTATACACATTTTGAAAGGGATAATTTGGTAAATGACACTTAAGATATAATCTTTTGCCACTTTTTGAAAAACAAAAAATAATACTACCTTTGTTCTTAAATAAGTGCAACATTGCAAATTTTACACTATTCACATGTTCTACTTTGACTACATTTTATTTATTGATGCATTAATAAATTTTTTTGAATAAATTTTGCCACTAAATTTGTCTCATTGTAAATTTTCAAAATATGATTTTTTAATTTTTTTAACTAATAGAGAGTTATATATATTAATGGTCAAAGTTGTGTCTCGGCAAATGTGAAATGTTGACTGTTGCACTTATTTAAGAACGAGTAATAATTACACATATACAATTAAAATAAAAAATATTTACAAGAATACTACACCTTAAGTGTATTGATAGATAATAATAATAATAATAATAATTTAGTATAATAGTTTATGTTCAATTTTGCACTTAAATATTTATGAAATTATACTATAACAATTATTTATAAATATTACTCCGTATTAGTCATGTACCGCAAATTATACCGTGGGATCGGCCCACCATGAGCAGGGTGTGCCGATCCCAAAACGACGGCGTTTTATACTCCGTATTAATTAAAACAGAGCTGACAAAAAATCACCGTCTTCTCCAACCGTCCAGCGTATGCTTCATCCCTGCGGCCAAAAATTTCCTTTGGTGGTACGAAGCTTCCTTGCTGGACATCCCTACTGAATCGAATTTCTTATACTCAGTGCATATGTATTACAGAAACGGATGTTAGCAGACAAAGAAGATACACAGAGCTTAAAATCTCAGATCCATTCATATATACCTCCATCTTCCTTATTTAAATGCATTTTGTTTGGGATTCACACTCTATTCAGACGTTTCTCTTCCCATATACATACTATTGGATTCTCATACAATTGTTCTTCTCACAATTACATTTGATAATACGAAGTACATGAAATTATATCTTTTTGTGTGTGAGTTACATTTTTATGTGTATGAGTTACATCTTTTTTACAAGCGAGTTACATCTTTTGAAGCGCGAGTTACATAGGGACTTGCCCCAACAAGTTACATTCTGTATACAACTAAGTTACATTTGCCATCAACGTGAGTTACATTTATAATAACGTGAGTTATATCAAAAAATCAACCTCTGGTATTAAAGCAAAAAATAGGATGATTTTTTTTAAATTCTTTTGATGGTCATGATATTAAAAACAAAACATATTCACGATTTACGTAAAGTAATTGTGCAATTAGACTTTTTTTTTAATTATTTACATTGAAATCAATATTTTATTTCTTATAATATGTATTTGACAAGTTACATTTCGAATGGACTTGAGTTACATTAATCAATAACGTGAGTTACATATCTTTACACGCGAGTTACATTATTCATGCTACTGGGTCAAAAAGAAAAAAAAGTTACTGTTCACGCGTTACTGTTCACGCGAATTTTTTTTAAAAATATTGTGCAAAACTACGTAGTTTCAGAAGTGGAGCACGATACTCACCGTGGGATGATCCCACGGTATAGGAACTCGTCATGTACTCGTATTTGTTAGTGAGTTTGATTTCAGTAACATTTAAAAAAGGGAAAAGGTGCAAATAGGCCCATGTACTAACCAAAAAAGGTCAAATAAGCCCTTATTTATGAGGCTCTGTCCGGACGTCGTCATTTGGGGTGGTTCCCGATGGAATTTTTTGATGAAATTTTTTGAGCATCTTATTCATTAAGTCTAGTTTACTCATACCAAATTTCAGCTAAAACATCAATCGGGAAGGCATTCAAATGAATTCTTGAAAATAACTGCGCAGTTAGAAGCGCAATTATCTTCAAGAATTCATTTGAATGCCTTCCCGGTTGAAGTTTTATCTGAAATTTGGTATGAGTAAACTAGACTTGATGAATAAGATGCTAAAAAAAATTCATCAAAAAATTCCACCGGGAATCACCCCAAATGACGATGATCAGACAGATCCTCCTAAAGAAGGGCTTATTTGACCCTTTTTGGTTAGTACATGGGCCTATTTGCACCTTTTCCCTTTAAAAAAAAGGGAAGACCAATAGTAACGGAGACTATCACACCCATGCAAGACATATACGGAGTATATCCTTTCGTGTTGTTTTTCAATCTCTGCAGACCATTTCAATAGAAGCCATGCATCCTTTTCCCATCGTCTTTTTTATCTTCTTCACATATTTCTTACCAATCTCTCTCGCTGAGATCCGATTCTTGCAGGTTCGCTCCGACAACCGGCCCGTAATCCTATTCGACGAATTCGGGTTCACCCACCGCGGTCGCCTCGAACTGAACGTTTCCAGAATTGCACTTGATGGCCCCGACAACTTGGAGCTCACCCGAGTCGGGTTCTTCCTTAGTACACCCGAATCATGGCTGCAGCTTCTTCAGCAGATTGATGATGGAGAGATTAATTGCGTTCTCCAGTCTGATTACGCCAAGGTCGTCTACCTGTTCGATCATTTGCTCGGCAATTCTTCCTTCAATACGCTTTATACCGAGTCTGGTTCCGGTCAGTACAGTCTCATTTTCGCTAATTGTCTGCCTCAGCTCACGATTTCTATGGACGTTCGGTCGGCGATGTACAATCTCGATGGAAATTCGGGGGAGACCCGGGACTATCTCTCCGCGGGGATGACGGTTTTACCTAGGGTTTATTTTATCCTCTCTCTCGTTTATTTTGGCTTGGCTGGTGTCTGGATTTTTGTACTATACAAGAAGTATTTGACAGCTTTTCGCATTCATTACTTCATGCTTGCGGTGGTGATTTTGAAAGCCCTGAATTTGCTTTGTGAAGCTGAGGATAAGTCATATATTAAACAAACTGGAAATGCTCATGGATGGGATGTGTTGTTTTACATATTCAGCTTCCTGAAGGGAGTCATGCTGTTCACTGTGATAGTGTTGATTGGGACTGGTTGGTCATTCTTGAAGCCATACTTGCACGACGGGGAGAAGAAGGTATTGATGATTCTAATACCACTACAAGTGCTGGCTAACATTGCACAGGTTTTGATTGATGAAGCCACTCCATATGGAATTGACTGGATAACTTGGAAGGAAGTGTTCATTCTTGTTGATGTTATCTGCTGTTGTGCTGTTCTCTTCCCTATTGTTTGGTCAATTAAGAATCTCCGTGAGGCTGCCAGGACCGATGGGAAAGCCGCTGTGAATTTGATGAAATTGACTTTCTTTAGACATTACTACATTGTGGTTATATCGTACATCTACTTCACTCGTGTTGTGGTTTATGCTTTGGAAACAATCACCTCATATAGGTATGTATGGACTAGTGTGGTGGCAGGGGAATTGGCAACACTTGCTTTCTATGTGTTTACTGGGTACAAGTTCAAACCTGAGGCACATAATCCGTACTTTGTAATCGATGATGATGATCAGGATGATGCATTGAAGCTTGAAGATGAGTTTGAATTGTGAATCTAATCAACCTCCAGTCAGGTTTTTGTCCAATTTAACGAATGTTGTCACAGTGCTTCTGTATTTGGTTCTAGTCTGTGATGAAACATTTTCATACCATTCGGTTCACAGTATTTTGGAACCAAGAAAATGCTAGGAAAAGAAAACTGGGAGGAAATCTAGATTAAAAAACATGCAAAGGAAAATTGAAGGAATTTTTTTGTTAAATACAAACTTAGCTAATCTGTTTTAGACTTTTAGATATTCATTTGAAATCATTTTATTTATTTATGTATTTATTTATATATTTATATTATAACTAATAACTCTGAGAGTTAACTTTTTATCAAACAGACTCTTATTTCATTTTCCTTTGTATTTTGCAATGAAATATCAATATAAGAAAATAATGTTCCTAGCAATTTCTCTCCTTTATCTAGTTTTTTTCTGTGATCCAAACACACTCTAAACTCTAAAGGTCTAATTTTTTCTCAAGAAAGTGGAAAACCTTTCATTCTTTTGAGATTTGTGCCATTGGCTAAATGCCATTTGCATAACTTTATGAACTATAGTCTTCTTTTTTATTAACTCGCCATAAGCCTATAACTTTGATGATGATGAGATAATAGTTGTGTAGTTGGCCAATTTTGCCTTCTATCTCACTCTGCTGAATAAGATCTGTTGGGATATGAGAAACTTCAAGTCTTGCTATTATGTATTGATTGATGTTTGTTACGTAAAGATTAATATAAATAGCTTGTAAGGTGTTCTATCATTGCACCTATTATGGACTAGCTGGAGAGACCATCATGTGAAGCATTTCTGAATAGATAAAGAATTTCTGCTTTCGTGGATCCCAATTTTAAGTGGCGGACATAGAGATTTACTTCCTTGGTTCTTTTTTAGTTTCAACATTTCCCTTTTCACGTTTGCCAACGCACAACTTTGACCATTATTATATTTGATTCTATATTTGTAAAAAATAATGAAAAATCATATTATGAAACTTAGTCATGAGACAAATTTAACAAAATTTTCCAAAAAAAAATAATTCACACACAATAATAAATAAAATGTAGTCAAAGTAGAGGACATGAATAGTGTATAAAGTCCTATGTTGCAACTAATGCGATACGGAGGATAGTATTCAACAAGGCATGCTAATAGTGGTGGATATGGGCCGGTTCCAATCCGGATCTAGACCTGTCGGTTCTGGTCTCCAAAAGGGAAGAACAGTAACTGGAATGGAGTTACTGAAGCCAGTTTTAGGTCTTGTTTACTTCCCGATTTATGGGTCGATTCTGGCCCATGTCAATACTACCAAAGTAGATAGCTCTTATACGGATTCCATTTTTGCGCCAGAATTCCATTTCGTCTTGAGGCCAACCTCAAACGAACTGAACGGCCCAGGTTAAGTTTTGGTGTGGAATCATGTTTTGGCATGGTTTTATTTGTTAAGTTCTGCTCTCATTCATGAACTAGTATGTAGTACTACGTAGTATAATACTTCACCCTAGGTACATCTGGGTTTAGCGAGGGTTTAAGAAAAGTAATATGCATCCACAAAAAGTAAAAAGATTAAATTATTAATATAAGTATGGTCTATGGTACAATTCATTTTAGTACAATTCATTTTAGGTAGATTCTATGGTACCCTTAAGGTACCATACCTTTGTCCACATGGACCAATCAATTGAATTATTTAAATCTAAATTAAAAATGATATAATGATTTGGACCAATCAAATGGATGGTAGGTACGGTACCCCATTTTTTAAATAAGTACCAGAGTTGTCACCTTCTTGAAAATGTTCCTTTTTCTATAATCTGAAAAGGAAAGTGTATTTTATAAGACGTGGCATGATTGGTATTATTATCCAATATCGTGAAGTAATCACTCATTTTACACCTAATCGCTAACACTATTCTGGCAAAGCAGCGCGCAGGCTTTTTCCAGCACCCTACATCCACCGCTCCGATGTTATGACTTATGATCTTAGCTTGCTTACTACTCCGTATTAATAAGTGGTAAATACTACAGAGTAGATATTATTAAAATGTATTAGGTCACATGCATTCTAAACTCATTAGAATACACTCCTAGGAGTTTACAATGCATGGCATAATATATTTCAATAGTAGAAACAAATTTGTCAATTTTTATTAATGTGTGATCAAAGCTCAATTTACATTCTTCAAGATAACTTTCCAATTGTTTTGGAAGGCTTTAGAATGGGATGTCATCATCTTCTTTTAGGGCACGTTTGGTTGGAGGTAATCTTGTATGCAGGCCGGAATCGATGTCTGGAATCTGAGATACCCACGTTTGGTTCACAGGTTCAAAAAAAATTGGGAATGTAACATTCCGAAAAGTGAGGAATGTCATCTCATGCCCAGGAATGTTAAACCCATGAAGCTCTTAGGTTATCATGGATGCCTGGTTGATTATAAGACCTCTTTCAAAAATACCCACTCATTTAATCAAGAACAATACCCACTCATTTAATCAAGAAAACCTCTTTTAACTTGCTTTTTGCTACAGATGATAATGTAATGGAATATTCACCTTTATTTTTAATGTGTTTCGTTATGCATTTACTTAAACAATATAATAAGAAATAATTACATATATATGACTAGAATAAAGATTTGTTTACAAAAATGTGACTAGAGTAATAATAGAATTAGAGTAACTTACGTTCTATTTCAAAACTTAAGTTACCATAAAACTACATTGTAGTAACTATTAATCATATTTATTTTAATAAAATTTCACTTAGTAATATTTTTGAAAAATGCCCCAACAATAATGCTTACTAATGTTCACTAAACTTTGTCATTTAAGCAAATAAACATATTTTTTTAAAAAAAAATAGTCAATTAGTTTTTATTTTATTTTATTTATTATTGAGATATTTCATTTTTTTTCTCTAATTTAAATTACTTCGAATGTAGGTTGTAATAAATTTATTGTTTGAGAGAAAATATTTGAAGGGCTTTGAAGTAATTCATCAAGTCTGCAATATATGATATCAATCAATCAAACAAATTAATATCGCATTCCCTGAATCTTAACCAAACACAAATAAGATACAAATGCATACATTCTCATCAATCTAACATACCCAGTAATCTGACATTCCCATGATAATCTGACATTCCTTGAACCAAACATACCTTACAGAGTTTAAATGTCCCTTAGAAATGTAGCGTGGAGAGACAACGTGATGTAGAGAATAAACTGTCAGGACCCTACTCCAGTTAGATAGCACAAAAGCAAAAAGTGCAAAAATTTAAAGAAGCAATGGCTGCAAAAGAAAAGGTACACAAACTAGAGTGCTCTGTTTCAAAAATGACTATTCCTTGCCAACAAAAAGAGGGCATCTCCAGTGATTCCATACCCATCAGCAGTTCCACTTTCCCAATCACATGGAAGCTGTATGAAAACCCATGCTACCATATCAGGCAGAGAAAAAAGCTTCAGGATGACAACATCTATAATCAAAGTCAGGTTAGCCAGCAGATCTACCTGCCGCCCATTTCCACTCGTAAGATCGCTGCTTCTTTCTGGAAATCAACCTTCTTCAGACCTTCCATGGAGTCAATGCTAGAAACAGCTCAAACCCAGATCATGGAACTGAAGGCTGAGTTGGAAAATGAGCAAAAGAGACGAAAGAAGCTTGAATCTTTGAACAAGAAGTTGGTAAAACATGTGTTTGAAGAAAGGAAGGAAGGGAAGCAATGCTGAAACTATCCAAACCATTTTCCAAATAAGTGTTCTCCCACAAAACGCAGATAAACAGGTTTTGAGGGAGGATGGTGTTAAGAAAATATATGAGATACACACAGGAACTTTCATACTCAATCAGAAATTTCCATTCCAGAATCAAAGATTCTAGAACTTATTATAGATACTTTTAATTTCTTGATTGCAAATGAATGATCCATCTTGGTTAGTGTTTACATCTAGAAGATGCATGTTCGGTATTTGTGATTGATTTTAACATAGTGATAAATGTGGTTTGATTTATGGAAACTTTTTATTTCTCAAGTACATTTTTTATTTATGTTGCTACAAGTGTTGCATCTCAAATGATACTTATGTGAGCATTCCAGAATTTGGGGTGGCGTATCAACATTTCTGGAATAGTAAGGATAGGAATCCCAGTTCTCACATGGAGTTATTATTATTGATCATTTGATCTTTAAACCATCGAAGACATTAATGGTGAAACTGCTTCTTTTTGTGTATCCAAGCATCACAATGTGCAACAATAGTCCAATTTAGAAATTACAAACGCGCGAATGAGCACAGCTACTTCCTCGCGAGTAGGGATGACAATTGTACTTGACCCTGTGAATAATTGATTAATTGCACTGATTTGCTTTATTAATCATAACTTCATAAGGAGAAAATGTTCATTAATCAAGTAACAGATAAAGGGCTAATATTAATTGCTATCCACTTCTTCCCTCGCTTACGATCATATTTTTTTCCACGTCTTTTCGTCAAAATAAGTTTTTTCCATTTACTTTGTAAATACAAATTTCATTAAAAGTATGTTTGAAAAAGTGAGTCATAACAATACTAAGATATAAAAAAAAGATTTTTTTCTCTCTCTAGGGTTGCCGCTCAACTGCTAGAGTAGTTCTCCGCGTATCCGTTTTTGTCGAGGACGAAGAACGGCCGTCCTAGACAGAAGAACGAGGTTCGCACGACGAGTTCTGCAGACGGGGACTACTAGCAGCAGTCGAAGGCGAGGGTTCACGCCAGGTTTGAGTTTTGTATTCAGCCAGAAGTGCAAGGGTATTGCGATTGTGGTGGAGACGATTAATGGACGAGTTTGTGAATCAATACAAGAAGATGGCTATCAGGGAGGAGGACGGTGAGCTGAATTTGGATGACGAGGGAGTCGGAGAACTTGATACAACCGAGAAGATGGGTGAATTTCCGGTGGTGGGAGTCGTTCTTACGGATCGAAAAATCAAGTTTCAGGCTTTCAAGGATCTTTTGGCCTCGACTTGGCGTCCGGGTAAAGAGGTGTCAATTAAAGAAATAGACGACAAAAGGTATATGTTTACTTTTAATCAGATTGTGAATATGAACCGTGTTCTTAAAGATGGTCCTTGGTTGTTTGAGAGGAATTTATTGCTTCTTAAGGAAGTTAGGCCAGATGATATTCCCATAAAATGAAGTTGTGTGAAGCTGAGTTATGGGTACAAGTGCATAATGTCTCTTATAGTTTTATGAATAATTGCTAGAAGGGTGGGAAACTATATTGTTGAGTTTATTAGTTTTGACGAGAGCCACTTTGATGACAAGTGTGAGTATGGATGTGGGGAAACCTCTGAAGAATGGTCGTATTGGACATTGGGTGATTTTAATTATGAAAAACTCCCAAATTTTTGTTTCATTTGTGGGGTGATTGGGCATGCTGATAAATTCTGTCCCTTGAAATATGAGGAGGATATAGTTTTGGAAAAATCTTTTGGGATAGAACTTAGAGCGGGAGGTGGGGTGAAGACTAGACCAACAGGGGGCAATAGGTAGCTAGTGGAAAAATCTTCAGGTTCAAGGTTAGTCAGACAACAGAAGAGAACATGTATGGAGGGTGAAGGTACTGGGGAACCAGGAGGGCGAGAGTCTACAGCTCGAACAAATAATATTGTCACCAAAGAAGGAGGCATAGGCATTGCTGAGTAGGTGCCAGTGGACTAGAAGCGCAAAAGGATCTCGGAAGAGCAACCACAAGAGGATCTAGTAGGCGAGATTATGTCTCTGGATAAAGCAAAAAACGGGGAGGCAGTGGGTCCTGACTTCTAGACCCGCCGATCATGCGAGTGGTGCT